ATATTCATGTAATTAAGCGTTTTAATGATTTGGCCGATTAATCGATTAATCGAAAAGATAATCAACAGATTAATCGATTATTAAAATAATCGTTAGTTGCAGCCCTAAAGAYGACTAAATTGTAGTTGGTGTCCTGACGTTATTTATCAATTCTGTTTCAAATACTTTGACTTAATCGATCAGAAAACAATAGAGAAAACTGAATTATGACCCAAACAGAATGTAAAGATATCTATGCAGCACTAGGAGAGAGAGAAAAAAAATCAAATTTAATGTACTCCTAGTACAAAACAAAATGTATTTAACAGCTAAGAAAGGGGATTTTGCGTGAGAGTGTGTAAGAGAAAGAGAACAAAGTGAAACATTTTGATTACCCATAGTGCATCACTTGACATTGAATTGGATGTTCTGAACTTCTTTTATCACCCAGACAATGTTAGAAAATGCACAAAAAACTCAATCGGAGACCTGTTTAGTTCTGAAAAACCTTCACTGAGTATTTAAAATGTGCAGAAAAACCTTTTTTTTTCTTTTTCACCCCAATAGTTCCACAGACCCCAAACAAGCAGGAGCACATAAAGAACTCCCAACAGCTAAAAACAAAATCCCCACATTCATTCAGCGCTTTCACTGCGGCGACTCAATGACTCATCCAAACAAGACTGAATGAGATTAAACCAAACTGTGTGTGTGTGAGATGTTTCATGAGTAAGACCAATCAGACAGGAAATAAGTAGGAATTTGACAAACTGCATTAGTATTTGTAGCAGCTATCTGGCCTCAGTGCTGACATTTAGGGAACACTTTATTTGATATGCATGTGTTGTGAGAGAACATGAGATAAGAGACGTAAAAAGAAGAAGAAGAAGAAGAAGCACTAAAAGGCTTTAAAAGCAGATGAAAAACAAGCTTTGAGGGACTGGGAACTATCAGGCACAGAGAAGTGACAGAAACGTTTTCTTCTTCTCGGCTCTCTGCTCCGAGGCTCCTCTTTGAATCCTGGCACTCTGCTGGTGTTTGTCGGCGCCTTCTCGTTGCCCACGATGCAGTTGCCGTCAGCTCTACAAATATGTAAAGAGCAACCAGTGTGACGGGATTCATGCAGGGAATGCTGATAGACTCACAGTCCAAACACACACCAGTCACGTCAACATGCAAGTCTTTCAGAAAGAAAATACAGACAATTTTTTCAAACATTTTAATTAACTTTTTTTCTTCTTCACAACRGATACAATGCTTGACAAAATGTACATGAAAAGAATGAAGTTATTCCGTTTAACATAATGCCACACTGCTGTCCTGGTGTTGCCTTTAAAAGAGGTGTTTAAGGTCTGCAAAAYATCGCACAAAAAATAATGCATGCAAGCTTTAAAGAAAGCTTTGTTTGCTTTAAATTAAAAAAAGTACACATAGTATACATTGTGTTTATTATGGATCTGTGTTCATATCAGGATATTGTTTTACTAAGAAAGAAAAACAAAGAAAGTCTAATAGTCTAGGGCTGATTTTTTTCTTCTACTTTAAAAGCAATAGATCTTTAAAATTGGAATGTGGAAAGACTGTAAACAATTAACATCTTACCTGTTGTAGATAGCTCTTTAAACAACCACAATTTGGACAAATAGAGTTCAAGTGGAGCCAAAGTGGAAGTGGATGGGTGCCTCCTGAAAACAACTTTTTTTTAAATAGTAGCAGAATTTTGTAAAATTGCTGCCAGTCTCAGTGATTTGACAAATAAGTTGCAAAAAAATAATAATAATAAAAAAAAAAAAAAACCGCAGCCAAAGTTTTTGCAGGAGTGCACATTTTTAATCACACCGCTCCTGCAAGAATGTTAAAAAACCCAGAAAGCTGCATCATTTAAAAGTGAGATCTCTATGCAGCCCGGYAACTTTTCTTTTGCTATCAGACCCTCTTGGATCGCAAGGGAATTGAGAAACCCTCGCAAACATTTTGCAAATGCCATTTTCAGTTTGGCACCAATGGCTGCAGCCAAATGAGATACTAGTTTTAGTCGATCACCTGTCAGAATTAAATTCTATTCCTCCAAACAAAGGTCACTGCAAGTGCCATCTACAGTAGGTAAAATATTAATCTAACTCTCATGGAAAAGGAAGAGAAATATTGCTTTAATTTTAAACCAAGCAGCTGCTTTTTTATGACAAGTGAAACTATCAGAGACCATCTGCCTGAGTAACCAATCAGGAAAGATTTACCCTCAAAAATGAAGCTGGAGATGCATAAAAAGCCTTGAACAAATGCAGTTTAAGAAAAAAAATCTATATTTTTTTCTCTTAAAAACCCCTAAATTTTAATGATCTTTATAACATCCAATTTTAAGGYGGAGAGAAACTGAAGTGTTGGTTTATGAAAAAGAAAAAAGGCTTAAAAACATTTTAATGCTGCTTTATTCAGGCTGTGCAGCACATCATTAAGAAATCACTCCCAGCTTTTGTAAATATATTGTGTATGTGTGACATGCAATCAGTTYCACCACAACTTCAAGATAATAATGTTTTAGAGTTTGTGACGTTGCAGCTCGCTCTCATCCCCAAGTCGTCTGCAGTCCTGGGAAATATCTGACTCAGCGCCAGCGTTCCAGTGAAGCAGTACTATAATGTACCACGTCATTTATTAACACTTTGCTTCATTCAGTGTTTGGTTAATTGCACTGAAGCTAACAGGTTAAGTTCAGGAACCCAAAACTTACTTATTTAAGTACAAATCTTGGCCACATTAAAATTTCGCTGCTTCATCTTTAACCACATTGCAGATTAACATGAAAAACCCAACCTTTTGGCTTAAAAACCAACATTGAAGGATTTCGTTTGCATTRATTTATAAAGGTCCTTTGAAAAACACAATGCTGCTGGAGTGAGAACGATCGGAACAGAGATGATAATTTTCAATGACGTTCACAAACTGGCTGTGAAAAATCCAAAATCAATGCAAGTTAGAGCAAATTTTTATACACTTTACTAGCTACTTCATTTACTGTTCTTTTACAGRTCTAAAATAACTAAGGCAACAGTTTGAATAAATAAAATAAGACACGAGAGCTGCTGAAAGACAAAAAGATGGCCTTTTTTTAAATAAAGAAAAAGCACCAGATCAGATTAAAGCAGACAAAACAGATAGATGCAAGACACATTAATGGTGAGACACAAAGATGCAAAATGTCTGCGAGGAATTTCCACCAACTCCTCTCGTTTTGCCCTCTGCTGCTGRGATCTCACCAACGGGCCACTTGGCTCGTGTAGTCCTCCGTGGTGGTCGACAAGTCACTGTCCGCTTCCTTCTGGGAGCCTCCTTCTCTGGTCCCGCTGGCCCTGCGTTTGGATGGCCACGGCCTGCCCTGCTCCCTCAACCAGCGTCTCTCTTCGCGCCTCTTCAAGCGCACCTCCTGGTGCTCCCTCTGGCGGGAGAACTGGAACCGCTGGAGGAACAGGTCCTTGGCGTATTCGTACAGCTGCACGTCCAGGAAGTTGAGCTTCTCGATGCACCTGCGCACGGCCTCGCTCAGGTCCACGTTGGCCGCCCGCGTGCTGTTGATCTGCGTGAAGGCGGCGATAAAGCGCAGGCTGAACGTCCGCTCGAACAGGTACTGCGTCTTGCGCTGGAACTCGGTCAGCCCGTAGAAGGCCATGTTCTTCAAGTTGCTCATGGCGCTGCTCAGGAGGATGTGGTTGCGCTGGCTCTCGTTCATGGAGGACAGGTTGTAGCAGCCCACCAGGCTCAGGTCGGCCAGCATGCGGACCTGGCGGTTGTTGGCCAGGTTGGACGGGCAGTTCATGAAGTCTTCCAGGGGCACTCCGGACCAGTCGTCACCGCTGTAGCAGGTGGGCAGCTCRTCCTGGGTGGGCGAGCGTCCGTCGCACATGTGGAGGGCTGTCTTCCACGTGGCTCCTCTCTGGACGTGTTTCCACTCACTCAGGTAGCGGGAGACTGGGTCGCGCAGCATGGTGATGTAGTAGAAGTTCCTGCAGCCAAAACAACACACATTTAGAAAGTTGTGAGTGCATCTCCATCACTGAGGGGCTGCCCTGACAGATAGTGAGCTTTGTCTTCATGTGAGACTTTAAGGTTGAATCCTAAATGGAAAACTGAAAGTCTCACAAATGAGATTATTAGTTGCTCTTGGATTGTGAACACCAGAGCAGCGGATTTCCTAATCTGAACTATGACTGTTTCCATTGCACAGGTTGCTCTCACCTGCAGAACACAGAGTAACTGGGCATGAAGACATAGCTGTGATTCACAGCCATAGAGAAGGTGAGAAAAACCAAATCAGCTACATCTAAAACATTGTTAAACATTTAAGAGATTCTAACTGTTGTGCATCAAACCTGTGGCTTTTTAAACTTGGAGTCTCACTGGTTGCCCACAAGAAAGAAAATACATTAAAATAGCTTTTTAGTATTGACAAATGATCTTTTAGAAAAGAAAGAAAAACCAAAATGGAGGCATTCATTTTCAATCAAACCCAGAGATGTGTTTCTTATGTATAAGGAAATAAAAGACCACAAAACATATCTATCTTTTAGTCAGTCTAGACATTTTACCACTCATATGGAGAGAGTAGAGCTGTGAAGCAGGGGTAGGGGAGTTTTGTCTAGGCCCCCCGCTTTTGACTGCATGAATCTGGGGCAAACACTGGAAAAGAGGAATCTGACCTTAGAAAACATTTTAATAAGAAGGTATTCTTCTGAAACAAATTGAAACTGAAACTTTGGGGTGGGGCTTGATGAACATGGTGGTGAGATCACTTTTGATTGGTTGAGTATTTCAAGCCTTTTAGTTTCACCTTGGCGACACGGTGGCACAGTTAACTGTCGCCTCTCAGCGGATCCCGGCCGGGGGACCTGTCTGGGCGGAGTTTACATGTTCTATCTGTGCATGTGTGGGTTTTCTCCCACAGGCCAAAAACGCAAAGTTGTCTCTAAGTTGTCTCCATGTGACCCTGTGATGGACTTGTGACTTGTCCAAGGTGTACCCCGCCCCTCACACACTGACTGCTGGATATGGGCACCGATGACCCCCTGTGACCATGGAAGGAAAAACAGGAAAAACAGAGTAAAAGATAATGCATGGATGGGTAGTTTCACCTTTAATGAGTGTCAGCAGGCTGCTGCTGGTGAYACTCATTGCATTTGCAATGGTTTTGATTTTTGTCACATGTGGACTGGGGCGTAACAACACATGAATTTGCATCAATATATCAATTAAATGATTAATGATTTGATTACATCAAGGCAAAATGAAAACATTGATCCAGAWTGTCAGCATATGCTCGATGTGGATTGATATATGCCCATCTAACACAATCATAAATCATGACAGACTTGTCATAGAGAAACAACCAAACAAATCAATATAAGATTGTATTGTGATAAAAGCTTAATCTGGAACTCATCTCATACTCTTAATGCAGTTTAATAAACTCTTTTTGGGGRAAGGGGGTAAATGTATACAAATTCCTTGCATAATTAAAGGCAAAAATCACCTGTAATGCAGTGGAATTCAAAATGAAAATTTAAGACTTTGGAAAAGAGTTTCTCATTCAAACTAGTCCCTAACAAATAAATCAGAGTGAGATACCTTCTCTGTTTCAAAATCTGCCGTAAAAGACTTCTTCTGCTCCGATTATCTCTTGTCCCTGGACCACAACACCTGACATTGTGGCTGGTTGAGTAAACAACTCACAGGTGACACTAAATGTAATTTTTTGGTGTAGTGAAACCTGTGTGAACCTCAACGCCTCTCAAGATGTGACGACTGCACAAGAGCGTAAAGGCTGGAACTCTCTATGAGTCCAACGATGCCGTTTCTGTGAAATGTCTTCAAAACTTATTTTAGAAATTCAGATGCCTTCTGTTCAAACAACTCCGTTTCTACAGCAATTTTTAAATCAATCATTCTTTTTTTAATGCAACAATAAATACAGCATCCACTATAATGAATAAAATATCAGTTTCACAGTTGTTTAATAAAAACAACTTTCCTTGCCACAATTTTTTCCATATTTTGCAAGGTTTCTATATAGACTTTTTGTTAAGTTGTAAAATCTTAAAAATGTTTTTCATATTTTCGGAGTTGGTTTTGTCAGATACTTTTAATCCAAAAGCTGAGTTTTCAAAAATTCTGTCAGATGCTGAGTTAGTCATCCAAGAAATAATCATCSTGTCACTAAAACAGCGTAAAAATCCAACTCAAGACATTTTTAAATTACGTGGAAGTTGTTATTGTGCTTCAGGATTGACATCTCACGCAAACAGCCTCCCTGCGCATGAAAGCTGAAGGCATTTCTTGAGGGAACACAGAGTCTGGACAGGTGATGGCCAGGTAAACCTCCCCTAAGAGGGTGTCTTTTGTGCGTTCCATATAAATATTGAATGATGCAAGCACCCCAGAGAACAGTGTGAGTTGGTAAAGTGCGGTGCTGAGATCCCCCTGACTCTAAAGCTGCTCTGTGCAGCTTCAGAGCTTTCAACACAGCAAACATTCAGAGTCTTACCTAAGGATAAAAAATATCTTTATGTATAAAAAGTGCACACAGAGACTCTGCGGTTTTACGCTTGAGGATTTCATTCAGTGATAAAATATTCTCAAATGCAAAACTGAAAAAAAAAACTATCACAGATTTTACTTTGTGGATTCAAGCGCATTAAAAGGACTACTTTGGTCTTTTAAAAAAAAGCATTCCATAGAAAAGATGTGAACAATTTGCATCTTTTCTGCTCTTGATAGCTTTTGGAGCAACCTTACTTTGGAGAAGGGCTTAAATTTGGACAGATTGACTGAGATAACAGCTAGTCAGAGTGCAGCTAAAACCGAAGTTTTATGTGAAAAGTTTTGTACAATTACACTACACAGTAACTCCAGCTGAAAAAAAAATAGCTGAAAAATGCTATTAGGCGGCACCAGTAGGGGGTCATCCCTATATTTCCTGATACCTATGTTCCCCAGATCCGTATCCACATAGCAAAATTTGTCTAGCCCAGTTTCGGCCCACACAATGCAAACATGACACTCGGTCCGGATACAGGCCGCCCTTTGGTGGCCCAGATGTGGTTTTCCAGAGGTGGTCCATACATGGTCCAGCACCACATAAATCAAACTACAACTGGGTCAGTTAAGGCATGCTATCTTAAAAACAGTGCCAAACCACTTTTTATGCCAGATCTGGCCCACACCTGTCTGCTATGTGGGTATGTTCTCCTGGCAAATATTGAAAGTATTATAATTATATAATTATTAATTGTATAATTTTAACTTTAAAATTAAAATTCACTTTCAATATTATATACTACTGAAAGTCAAAAGAGACATGACTCCCTCTTCAAATGTTTTTGTAAAGCAAATGAAAAAAACAATCATAGTGCAGGAATTGAACAGACGCTGGCAAACAACCACAGAATTCTATGTAAAGAACCACAGAAAATACAGGTTTATAGAACATTTATTTGAAAGGCTAAAAAACAATTTAAACTGGAGTTGTTTGGAGACAAGAGGAGTTCAGTTTGGTAATATTTGAGCTAAACTTTAGCTTGTTAATCCAATCATAAATATCCACCAATACTAAATATTTATGCTTCAAAGTAGTTTATAAAATCAAAGTTTTGATACTTTGATAATTTAGTATTTTAGGTAATGTATATAATACATAGAAACACAGTGGAAAGAAACTAAACCATTGTAATCTCTTCTAAATCATACAAGGTGGGTGGGTACTACTTTTTATTCTACCTGTTTGACAGTCTGTAGATGTTACATGTTCAATAGTTTCATGTTTTCTTTAATAATTTATTTGAATTGTTTTATTATTTTACTTCATTTTTAAAATTGTTTAAAATGTCTTTTTCACATATTTTGAATGCTTATATCTGTTTTTTCTGCTGCATTAACTCAGCTATATTGTAAATGAGGACTCTACATCAACATACGTACTTCTGAAGTTAAAATGAATAAATAAAATGCTCTGGGGTCGGATTTATAAAGCTTGCGTACGCTCAAAAGGAACCCAGAAACTTGCGTAMGCCACTTTTCATGCCAAGGTTGTGATTTATAAAATCCAAACTTGACGTGAAAATGTGCAGTGCCTCATGCCAGCTCTGACCCATGCGTACGCTCATTTTGGAGACGGGAAGCTGCAACACAGATGGTGAAGTGAGGAATTAGAGCCACACTGTGTAATGATCACAGTCAGATATTTAATTTCACTACATAATCAGACYAAAATCTTTATCCAACTTTGTCATCAGCTTTCTTAACAGTATTATTTATGCTTCTGCTGCTGAGCCGTAAGGCCCTTTGAAATAAAAAAAACTTAAATCTTAAATGTAAGTTCACACATCTCCATCCATCTCCTTCCTCCTCAGAYGACCCTGACCTACAGGTCCCTCCCCGACAAGAGACATTTCAACAGAATGACAGCAAAAGTCACGCTTTGGGTACTCGCACAAGGCATGCCCCTCGCCAGTGTGGATGTTATAAAAGTTCACTTTTTAAAGTCCGTATTTCTGACGCGCATGTGGCTGTGGGGATGTTAGCGGGTGAGGAGAGCTGAAGATAACAGAGCAGGCAGGAGGGGGAGGATGGGTGAGAAGAGTGGTGAACCTATTTCTAACTTAATTTTATTTATTGTTTTTATCGTCCTGCAGGCCCTGAGAGAAAATTAATTTGAAGATGTTTTTGATAAAATCATTAGATTACTCTAAATGTTTTTAAACCTGCAAAATGAGGGAAAATCTGTGTCAATTACAGACATTCTGCTCACGTGAGCAGTTGTCAGTCAGCACCTGTCATTCTCCAGACGCACGACAGAGCGTGTCTGAACCAATCGCTTCTTTTGACATTGATCAGCTGACTGATTTAAATACATCTTAACATTCATGAGGTACTTTGCATTGACTGTTTATGGTTGAATGTGGGCGTGTAGAGGGTAGAACCTGAGGCGGGACCTTGTGCGCAGTTTCTGAGG